GGAAGAAGATCTGTAAATTCACATTGAATTTGCATATTTTCTTTCAAAAGAAAAACATAGTCTAGACATACCCTGGTTCTCACAAGTCTCCAAGCCACATCCTTGATATTTGCTTTCCTCTCTGCCCCACCATCCTACCCAGGCTGGACACATTATTCTCATTTCTCCCGCCCCACCCACATCGGTTCTTCACTTTGCTGGGAAGAAGATCTGTAAATTCACATTGAATTTGCATATTTTCTTTCAAAAGAAAAACATAGTCTAGACATACCCTGGTTCTCACAAGTCTCCAAGCCACATCCTTGATATTTGCTTTCCTCTCTGCCCCACCATCCTACCCAGGCTGGACACATTATTCTCATTTCTCCCGCCCCACCCACATCGGTTCTTCACTTTGCTGTCCATCTGCCCTCTCGTCAGCTCCCCATAGGTCCCTGTGGCACTTGCAGGTATTGTTGTTGAAATCTTGCATGCACTGATGATTCTGCAATTGCATGTGCAAATCCGACAGTAGATGTGGGCACCACACTACCTTAATTGTATAGCATAAACCTCACTGTAACTGTGCTTACAAATTGGACATGTGACTGTTTACCCTAAGCTATCTGAAAATCAGGCCCTCAATAGCTGCTGTTTAGTGAGGAGAAAGTGGAAATGCGGAGGTTTGCAATGAATTAGGAATGTTCTACTATACTATGCTTCCCGTGATCCCAAACTTTAAATCATTAACTTTTGTCTTTCAAATCCTTATTACAGAGTAAAAATACTCCCTAAAACAAGAGAAACAAAATTAAGAGTCTCCCCATCCTGGTATCTGCTCGTTAGTCTGCCATGCTCCCCTCCCCCCCTCCTTGCCCCGTGCTTGGTCCCATCCCAAAGGGAAGCGTACTGGAGTTTTCCTCTCTTATTGTAGAACCATTTTGTCCTCCTTTTGTGACAACAGCTCTTACCTTTGGCTAGCTGCATGGCATGTAAATTGCTATCTATGGCCACTGTCAATTCACCTCTGCATAACTGAACTAGCAGAGTGCTGAAAGCAAAGCATTCACCCTGCATCTGGCCTCCAGGCGCCACTGTGGATTAGCATCTGTGATATACCTCAGTGAAATACACTGGGAGAGCCTCAAGGTTGGCCCTAAAGATCATGGAGAGTTTGGTAAATGGGTGTAATGACTCAACAGAAAAGCCACGTGGAGTCAGCAGGGCCTTCTCTTCGAGGATTAGAGCTATAATAAGAAAGGCAGGAAGGGTTAGCGAATTCGCCTCTGGCCACTGAATGAAATGACCTCCGTTCTGTTACCAGTTTGGCCACTGACCTGATGTCTGACCTCTGGCAAGTCACTTCACATCTTTGTACCTCTGACTCCCCCACTCTTGGTCCTATTTAGATTTTGAGCTGGGGCTGTTACATATTCATGTTGTACCTAGCGCAAAAAGCATCTGATGTTAGCTGGGGCTTCGAGGTACTACCATAATAAAAATCACATTAAAGATAAATTAACAAAAGCAGAAAGGAAAAAGGAAACACTTTGTCTGAGTTTGTGCCAGTTCTAAATATCCTGAGTTGGGATCCCAAATTTCCCTAAAGCATTTTGTCTCATCTGTTTTCCAAGCAACCACTTCAATTGCATTCCACATGTTCTCCTGTTCAATAGGAGGGAGAAGGGAAGCTTCCAGTTAGCTCATTGTTCACCAGGGAGCACGCCTGCTCCATCTTCTGTAAGGCACAGAGTCTCTTGTCAGCAGGAGCTAACCTGGGTCCTTCTGTGTTCTGAGTTTCCATCACCGAAACTGTCTCAACTGGACAGCCAACACAAACACCACCCAACCAGACAGAACCAAAGTACTGGAAGGAAGCACTTTATTCCCATCAATCATGTGAAACAATATACACATGAGCAACATTCCAGGCCAGTAGCAAGTTAAAGCCAGTTACATAAGTTACGTTTTAATTTGACTCCATGATCCTACTACTGAACAAATAAAACAGACTCTGAGGAGTTTCTTTTGCTAAACACAAAAGCCTCTTTTCTCCTAAGTACCTAAGCAGCCCACTGTATCCCTAAGGGCTAGAGAGAAGCTGAAGAAGCAGCTAAAACAAAGAACATTTATTCAGCAGTGAAAAGGCAGACCACACTGAGCAGCATTTAACAGGCCCTGGAGGGGTCGTGCCTAAAGAGAGGCAAACTATGAGAAGAGAGGACTTTGAGATTGAGGAAAGGAGATACAGGGGATCTCAGAACACACTACACCTACCAAAAAAAGCCAAACCCAACCTTTAAAATAAACTCTAGATAGTGAGCAAGCCCAACTTGGTTGCAGGAGTAAATGTAATGCAGGCTTTGCTTATTTAATTCAGACCATTCTTTAACTGTATCACTTCTCAGAGAAGCCTCTGTTCTGCATTTTGGCATTTGGGGTTTTCTGCAGTGCCTTGCTCCTTCCCTAAAAACAATTACACACCACACTAAGCTATGCCGTTTCCACCTCGTTTTTAGACAAAATTCCAAGTTCCTAGGGGCTCTAGAACACCTCTGGAGACACTAAGCTCCTGGGTGCTGTAGAAGATATCTGAAGGTGGCAAGTTCCAGGGCACTCTCTAATGCTTCAGAACTAGATTCCTGGCTCAGAGGATGCACTAGCATGTTCCAAGGGATTCTGAGTTCCTGGTGCTACGTGAATCTGAAACACTTTCAGGAAGTTCAAATCATTTCGCCCATTCTTTACTGTAATAAAAGCGCTTGATGGGAGGATGGAGGGGAATTCGTAGAAAAATAATACAGAATGCTAGAGAGTTAAAACTACTGTATTGCTTTAGGTATGAAAAAATAAATACATAAATAAATGTAAAATTCTCAGACTCATGTGCCTCTTTGGCTGGGTCCTTCTGTGCTGCTTTTTGGCCTTCTCACTTAATGGGCAAGACTCCCTTTTCAAGGTCTTTCTATGTTTCTGCTCTCCTGGGACCCCAGTGCTTCACTCTGCTTGTATTCAGGGTCCCATATATCCCTTCTTCTTTCTTTCCCTCCTACCTTCACGGCTGTGTGAATATATGTAGGAGTGCTCAGTTTTTCAGATCTGATACAGACCCAGATCACTTTTTCCACTTCCAGGGCTCCACCCCTCTCTTCTTTAACCCCTCCCCCCCTTTCCACAAACTCTTATCGGTATGTCTACATTATGACTGAAAACAAGCTTCTCAGCCCACACAGGCAAATGCATGCTAGTGGCACTCTAACAAGCATGTTAAAAAATCCCAAGCTCAAGCCTGAGCTGAAAGTGCTACTTTCAGCATGCTACCTTGAGTCCCACTAGTGCAAGTCTCCCAGCTCCAATGGAGACATTGTCCTTTTGTATCTTGGGGGCAGCATATTTTCTTTTCCTCACTCAATTTATTTTCTCAGACTGAAGTATTTGCCGCTCACTCTCTGCTTCTGGGGTGCATCATCCACTCTACCCCCTCTCTCCTGTGTAAGGCCCACCTGTCCCTCCCTGAATATGTCTGTGTATAAATTTCTTTTTTACACAATTTCAAGTCACATTTATACGATTATTGTTTTTAAAAGACCTATGTAAAATCTCTCAGAAACAAAAGCTCAGGAAATAAAACCTTATAAAAATATGTTATTTGTTTAATTCTACTTCAAAATATAATATATACATCTGGATCTATGAACTTATTCCTTTCTTCAAAAACATAGAATAAAATCATTGCCAGTATAATGTCCAACACTTCATTTATCCACCTCATCAAGTGCCACACTGTAAACTGTCCTGAAGGCCATTGGGCCTCTTTTCACTGGAGTTCTATGTCTAAAAGGTCCCAGAGGGATTTTTTCACATGTTGTGGTTGGCTGGAAGTATGATCTTCTAGGCTGTGTCCCATTTCTTTGTACAGACTTTTAGCAAGCTTGCAGACCACAGTCCTGACATTACCACTCTTACCGGGTAACACCCCATTTCCAATCATGTTGTTCAGAAAATACCAGAGAACGGGCAAGATGTGACGTTCCACAACCTGGGGTTTCCGAGGGTAGACAGATGCTACAAGTGCTGCAGGACAGAAAATAAAGCATCTTAACTATCAAAATGGGTGCTCATCCTTATTTTTAGTTCCTCATAACTGTTTAGCTCCACATAACCACTGTCTGGAATCTGAATGCAAACTGTTGACCTTTTGGTGAACTCTGATGAAAAAATCAAGGTCTACCTTTGTGTTTCCTTGTGCTCAGTGACCCATAATGAATATCTGTACTAAATTTCAAAATTCTAGCCCACAGAGAACTAAAATCTGATCAGAAAGATGGATGATCTATTGGTGCTTCTGATGGGAAGGTCTAATTTGAGATTTTTCTTGTGCTTAGTGACTCATAATGAATGACTGTTCCAAATTTCAAGCTGTCTAACTATCTGGGCCCTGGTTTACACTAGGGAGCTATTTTGAAATAACTCTCATTATTTCAAAATAATAAGAGGAGTGTCTACACTGCCACGCCTGTTATTTCAAAATAAGGGACTGGTTATTTGAAATAACTCCTGCTTTCCATGAAGAATAACACTTATTTTGAAATAGTGGTAGCTTAGGCACACCACTGCTGTTATTTCAAAATAACTATTCCTCAGAGTCAATCAAACTACTTCCCAGTCCTTCTAAGGGCTCTAAGTCAAGATAACACGTCTACATTATGGTTGCATCTACACAGCACCCTTACCTCGAAATAAGCTACACAATTTGTGCTACTAAATTGCATAGCTTATTTCAATGTTACTTCAAAATAGCTTATTTCTAAATTTCATGCTGTCTATACAGCACCAAACTTCAAAATAAGGCACTATTCTGAAATGTCCCTTATCCCTCATGCAATGAGATTTACAGGGACATGGAATAGTTAGCCTGTTATATTTTGATATAATGGGCTTGCTCTTAAAATGTGGAATAGCTATTTTGGGATACTGGAGGTATCCCAAAATAGCTCCCCTGTGTAGACGTAGCCTCAGGCTAATTTTGAGGCTAAGGGAGTCTGCCTCAGGATAATTTTGAGGCTTCCCTGTAGTGTGGACACACTAATTTGAAATAAATTATTTCAAAATAATTTCCTAGCGTAGACATGCCCTGAGGTACTAACATAGGCATCCAGAGGCTATGCTCATGGTGGCTAACAATCTTTAATGTTTATCCTTACAAGACTCCTGTGATGTAGGAAAGTTCTCTCATACCCATTTTACAGATAGGAAACTGAGGTACAGATAGAGAGTAAGTAACTTGCCTCAGGTCACACAGAAAGACTATAGTGGAACGTGGAATTGAACCAGGTTTCCCAAAAGCAAGGATAAAACCCTAAGCAGTAGACACATCTTCCTTTCACCATTTCGGAGATAAAATCTTAGTCTAGCTTCTAAATGGGATCCAAATGGCTAAATTAAAAACAAACAAAAACCTGACACTGACTGGCATCTTTCCTGACCATTTCTACAGAAAGGCCAAGAACTGATATGACCTGTAGACTGAATTCTCATCAGTCTGATAAAGGTAAATTGAGGCTCATTAGCGGGTGATGGTGTGAGAAAAGCATACATTGCTATTCTGTGGTTAAAGAGATTTCATATTTGCCGCTATGTAAATCTCGCACCTTTTGGCAGCATTTAATTAATTTTTTTTTAAATCAACCTTAAATAATACTTAAACAACCATAATAAATCAGCAGAGGGTTACAGTTCCTCATTAACAAAGAGATAAATTGAGCACAGATGCTATTAAATATAGTGGCCACTATGGAGTTTAGAAAAGAGAGCTGCCTGTTCCCAGTAAATCCCAGAGGGAATATCTGCTCTTTCTAATATCGTTCCAATTTATATTTAAATGCGTTATTTGCAAAAAGAGATTAAATCGCTATAGAATGAAATTCTGTGTGTACAGAGACTTATTTTATGCAAATTATCTTTAAAGGCCTTGTAACGTTTGCCTGGAATATAGATACCCTTAAGAGAGTCATAATGAACAAGCAAACCTTATTAAACCTTGGATTAAAAGTAGCTGGAATAATTAGCAGTAGAGTTAGCCCTAATTAAAGCAAGGCTGCAATTAGGCTGCTTTCATTGTACGTTCAGAAGATCAGTGTTGCCACTTCTTGGCTGCCGCTGGACATAACATATATAATCACATATAATCTGTGATTATAGCTCAAGAAACAGCAGCATTTTTAGTTTGTAGTATGCAGTGATGTGGAAATAGACTATGTTTACACACATTGAAATAACAAACATGAAATGTCATGCTTCTGAGTAGAAGCAGATAACCTGCAGGGTCAGGAAGGAATTGCCTGCTCACACTGCCAAATATACATCCTTGCAACCATTATTCATGATCTGCATTCATGCTGGCAGTCCCAGGTTTTGTGGGACCCAGTACAAAATGTTTACAAGAGAACTCCTATCCCCAAGCTCTTTGTCAGAGAGGCAAAATAGACCCCAAGAATAGCAAAATAACAGTGATCACAAAATGTTCAATAGCTAGGCATGGGTGTCGGTGGGTTGGCAGAGAGAGACATTTGACTAAGGAATCAGAATCTCTGGGCCTAGTCCTGATCTCACATTGCCCCATCCCTTTAAAAACATTCAAGAGATAGCAGGAATATTTTTTAAGTTTCTCTTTCTTAAGAGTGAATATGGAGACCTCCCCTCAATGATTCATTACAAGAACCTGAAAGCCCCTTTCACCACTGTTGTGTATCTTCTACAGTCATTTACACGTGTGCAAAGTGCATGTAATATATGACCAGATAAGAGTAGGAGCATTCCACAAGCACTTTACACAGATGTAAGTGATTGCACATGGTGCAGGACACTGAAGGAACAGGCCCAGTGCCTCCTGATGCTCCATCATCAACCTCTGGGTTAACAAACAGGAATTTCCTCATTTCCCAAGAGTCTCTCTCGGCTTTAATTCAAATGAACCATGAAAAGTTCAGTTCAGGGGAGCTGCTTGTTACCTGACAGGTATTCCGTGATGTCCTGCATGGCTCGACCGCTGATGAACTGCACTCTGCTGGCAAACGCTTGTAAGAGCAATGTATTATCTGAAAGGGACAGACACACATTCATGATCATCATTTCTGAAATTGTAAACAACAAAGAAAATACTTGCACTTTGTAAAATACAGCATATTTCAGAAAATATCGGGGCAGAGGTTACATTCATCTTCTCTTAGGCTACGTCTAGACAGTGGCACTGGAAGTATCCTGAAATAGCTATTCCGCATCTTTAAACAGACCCATTATTTTTAAATAGATTTTGAAATAATGGAGGTGCTATTCCAGCATCCCTGCAACCCTCGTTCCATGGGGGCTAAGAGATATTTTGGAATAGTGCTTTATTTTGAAATTTGACACTGTGTAGACAGCATCAAATTTTGAAATAAGTTATTTCGAAATTAGATTGATGAAAGATATGCAATTTGTGAAGCTCAAATTGTGCATCTTATTTTGACCTACAGGTGCAGTGTAGATGCACCCTTGAAATTAACATGGGATGGTTTCAAATTCAGAACAAATGTTCCTGACCCCACAACAGCATGTGTGAAATTCACCACTGTGCAGAGTGCTAGTACAAGTCTTACACCCTACAACTAAATCAGTCCCTAACAGTTTAAATGGGATGTAAGTGGCACATAGGCCTTGTGTTGTATTTCTGCAAAGCAGTAACTTTTACACATCTGTGCAGATTTAAAATCAATTTCTCCTTTATTTACCTGCCAACAGCTGAGCACAAGTTTTTCTGCTGCCCCTGAAAGAACAAATTATCTGATCACTACCATTCTCTGCAATTGTCTTAGGTGTTGATGATATCAAGAGCCATTGCAGAAAAAGAAAGAAAAGAGACCCCATAACTCAGATCTTGGCAGGGAGGTAAAAGAGGAATGGATTTCCTAATATTTGGCTGCCAAATGTACTTCTAATTCTTCATTCCCAGCCTGTTGTTTTAAAACTATTGCACTGTTGTCTGTTGGTTCTGACAAGCTAGGCAGAATTGATTTTGAATGATAGTATTTAAGTGAGATGCCTTCCTGGAACATCTAGATGCCATACAAGGTTAGGGTGATGGGTCAGTAGAGTAACATGCTTCTTTCTGCATCGGCACTGAGACAAAGCCCCAACACAGTTTTAAGGGGCACAGGATTTTTATAGGTGCCATCTTTTGTATGAGGCATAAAAGAAAGGTCATTAATGAAAAGTAACTTCTTGTATTTTTTGTGAGAAGACAGCAGGGGTACTTGGCATTGGTGTTCATTCTAAATTCCAACACTGGCAATTACATTCTGTCCATCAAAAATTTCATATAGACGCTTCACTAGCCCTAAACTATTGTGTGGTTTGATATGTGCTGTTAAATAATTGCTGTGTTCTGCTCAGAGACGGTTACATTTCAGTTGCTGCTTTGAAATCCTGATATGAACAATGTTATTGCAATGCAAAACATTAGTTATTAGTATGGAGCTCAGTAAAGATTTTCAGTTTACCATTAAAACTGTTATTGGGGCCCCTTTGTTTTCTAATGTGCTAAGTATGCAGGAACTGCTCTCTTTTGAATTACAAATTTGGAACAGGCTGTACATTTTGCAAGACAGCAAGCTTGCAAGAATCAACAACCAGTTTATACAAGCTTTACCTCAGAACTGCCTGCAACACAGAGGCTTTACATGGATGCTGGGAATGAGAAAAACAATGCAGCACGTGATACTGTTTTCAGCTTTGACTCTGTCCAATAAATACTAGATTGGTTTACTGATTTCAAGACAGGCAGCTCAGTAGTAAACACAATATGATGATCCCTTTCCATTCTCATGTCATATTCAGTATAATAGAGCCAGCCCCCTTCTAGGAGTCCCTTGGAGACCTGATGTTGTATCATTAACATGCTGCTTATTAGTAGAGTGTTATAATGAGCCCTCCTTCCCTGTGATTTATCCTGGCAGAAGGATTTGAGGCACTAAGTAAAAATTATTTAAAATTAATTTACAAATATAAAGGCCTCCCTGTAAAAGCCTAACAAATAAAACCAGATAAGAGTGGAGGATTTAAAAATCATAAGTACATATATACAGGACTTGTCATAACAGATCAGACCAATGGCGCATCTAGAATGAGAGCTAAGCTCCCATCTCCTACTGACTTCCTATTGGAATTAGGCACCTGTCATCTGTGCCTTGAAAGTCTCCTCCCTCGTCTAGTGTCCTGTAACAAACTGTATTAAGCCCAAGTCAATTTTAGCCACCCAAACTAATTTAAGTATTCACAATGAAGAATTGCCTTAGTTTGGCGCAGTCCATTTAGATCACAATTTTGTTAAATCGGGGCAATTTTGGCATGTAGAAAGGCCCTCAGGTCTGTATCTGTAAAATGGAAATAATGATAATACTTTCTCTCACCCTTTGTCTACCTTGTCTATTTAAACTGTAAGCTTTTTGGGACAGAGACTGTCTCTAGATAGGTTTCCACAGCACCTCAGACATCACGTCCCTGAGTTAATTTGGAGCATTTCTAAGCAATACCAGAATGCCTATAATAATGAAAAACAGTTTCTGTTGGTTATTGGTTATGTCCTGAATCACAAGGAATTATAGAAAGGACAAAAAGAATAAATACAAAAATACAATACAAAGGACAAAAAGAATAAATACTTGATAAAGTAGGGGTCCAATTGAAAAACCCAAGCACATAACCCCTCTACATCCTGGAATAGAAAGGTTTAAAGAAGTGTTTTAGAAATGGGAAGAGATGGATATCAGGGAAGATCAAGATCCATATTCTAGGTCCCATCACCATCAAGGCCTGATGAGCCCTCAACTTATAGTGTGGGTCCTTTAAATGGTGATGGATTGTGTCCTGTTCACTGATAATGGTCAGAAAAAGATACACGGTTGTTTATGACCTTCAGACAAAAACTGGGGACTCTCCAAGCTAGTTGTCAAAGTAAAGCTACATAAATGTTGATGGGGATCAGTCAGAGCAAATTCAGTTTGTTTCCAAGTGCATTTTTGGTCTCTCAAGCAATAATTTTACAATAAGCTAATGAGCAATTTTGTAACCACTTTGCATTGCTGCCTGGATCATCAAAGGTGGTAGGTTGGAAAATATGGTCTAAAATTGATATTCTGATGCCTACGAACAACCAAAAGTTTCCCAGTTGAATCTAGGATCCCAGATATAGAAACCAGCAGAGTAATGTTTTATGTACACAACTTACCCCTCTAGGCTAGGAAAGTTCTAGAGTCTTGCTGCACATGATTTTTAATTTTGATGAGATTTAAAGATGAGGGGGCTGAATTCACTCTATGGTAAAATCCCAAACAAAATGCCTGATCCTTGAATTTTGGGTATATATGATCTAGTTTTTAATCTGAATTCAGCAAATGGCTTATATCTCTATGATGGGCAGAACTGAAACATCTGGCTTGTCAGACTCTTCTGTCCAGTCTCAGTGCTCCCACCTGAGGTGGCTAGCCTCTGGCCCCTTCCCTTCTGCCAACCCTCCCACACAGCCTCAACTCTCTGGGCCACCAGCTCCAATGCTCCTGTTGGCAGAGTCAGATGATGGGGAGCGGAGCGACGGGGTTGAATAGGAGGTGGAAGGTCCCGGGGGTAGTCAGGGATTGGAGAGGTTGGATGGGGGCAGGTACCTACCCAGTCCTCCATACAAATTCTGAACTCCAGTGTGGTCAAGTCTGGTTATGGGATTTAATGCATAGCCTGGGAGGTGGAGGAGGGAGAAAGAAGAAGCTTCAAGAGAGAATGTTCTTGAACTTGACACAAGGCCAACAGGGATCGTGGCTGCTGGAATCATACTGCAATACAAGGATGAGGGGGGTTAAGTCCTACTGTGGAGAGGCCAAAACACAGTGGTGCTGGCCTCACATAATTCTCTCTGCTTTACACTCAGATACAATCTTGTCCTTATGGTCTAAAAACAATTTCCTTGCACAAAGGAACAGCAGCAGACAAGCAAGGAGCAAACCCTATTAGCTATATAAAAGCTCTGGATCGCTGGTGCAAAGAGAGTTAATAATTCTATTCTAAGGCCTGCCTCTTGAACTCTCTACATATTTCAGGCATATTCATCCAGCTCAGTATTTCTATAGCTGACATAAATCTGTATGGCAAGGGAATTTACAACAGGCTTTGCTTATGTAGTTATTGGCAATAGTAATCTCGCCCTATACAGAACAACATTTGGAAAAAGCCATCATTTACATCTGGATTTATACATGTTTGTTCTAGTAAGGAACTCAGCAAATCATAAATTTAATTTACAAAACGAAGAGTGAGGGTTGAAGATATTTATTAACTGAACAGAGAAGAAGGAATCAGTCAAGGCCCATAATTTAAAGCTTCCTAGGAGGTAGTGCTCTGCTGGGGAAGGTCTCCTTCACATCAACATCAAAGCAACTTGCCTGGAAATCCAAGATGGGTCAGAAACAGCCCTGAAATCCAGACATCCCTTTGTCCCTAGACTCCAGAGATGTTCAATATCAGGTTTTATGGCTCAGCACCATCTTCGTAACAAAACTGAGAATCTAGATCTAATGACTTTGGATGCAGATTCAAGCTTTGCCACTCTGACACCTTTCTTCTAGAAGCTGGTAACTAATACTGCTTGAATCCCTGCCTAAGGATTTCAGCCTAAGGGCCTCATTTCCAGAGGAGCGGCACACCCATAACTCCAGTTGAAGTCAATGGAATATACAGGTGCTCAGCACCTCTGAACACTATGTAGTGAGTGATTTGCAAACCTAGCATCTTTGTAAAACTCCAGTATTTTGCGTGGAACTCATAGCTCACTCAAACAACAAGTCCATCATAAAGTGAAGATGAATCCCCTTTGGAATATAAGACTGTGCCTCTGCAGAAGAGAAACCGTTTTATTGCAATGTATAAAACTCTTAGTCACCTTCACAAAGGACATCCTTCATTTCAGACCCAAATTCATCTTTCATCACACACCTGCTCTGATCTCACATTTCATTTATTTCCAAGTAAAAATATAGTGATGACAATAATATGCCAGACTGACAAACTTGGAGACTGAAAGACTGTGTTGATAGAACAGGCACAACAAAAAGGGTATGTCTAGACTACATGGCTCCGTCGATGGAGCCATGTAAACTAGTTTACCTAGCATAGTCAATGAATCGGGGATTTAAATAATCCCAGCTTCATTAAAATAAAAATGGCCGCCACGCTGTGCCAACAATCAGCTGATCCAGCACAGCGCAGCAGTCTAGACGCAGCGCAGTTGACAAGGGAAGCTTTTGTTGACCGCTCTGGTTTGCCTTGGAGTACTTTCATCACTATAGTAAATCCACCTTCTTCTATTGACCTTGGTACCACCTCACAGGATTTTTTTCTGTTGATGTAATGCTATCTAAATGGGGACTTAGGTCTGCTTAACTATGGACAGGTCTCCCCTACAATTAACAAGATCCACCTCCACAACAGACAGTAGTTATGTCAACAGACAGTGCTTTCTACGCTGGGATTTAGGTCAATATAACCGTATAGCTCAGGATTTTGGATTTTTCACATGCCTGAGTGACATAACTGTGTCGATCTAACTTTCTAGTATAGACCAGCCCTCAGTCTTAACCCTCCCTAATGAAATTACCAGCAAGTAAGCCAAATGTGAGGTAAAAACTTGTCCACTGGCAAATGGGTTAGACTAGTAAAATGAGTCCATATAGACAATCAGGCAACCATCTGACAGTAACAACTTTCTCTCACTGCTGTCTCAGGGTTTGACTTGAACTGGTGTCCTAAAGGCAAAACTCCATATCCCATTCCAAGCCAATAACCAGATCTCCTCACTCACATCTATTGTTGTGAATAATTAATATCAGAAAACAATGGGTCATGAAATGGAGATGAATGAAAATATTAGGGGGGGGGGGGGGGAATGATTCCTACATCATTTTAAAACACTGATCCATATTTTTTTCCCTCTTTTTCCTCCTCCATTCTGGGTTTTCATCTCAAAATTACAATCATGGTGGATTAGAGCTATGTTGAGTGGGAGATGGCATAAGAGGGATGTTTGTGTTTGTCTAAGATGTACATACTGATGAGAGGAAGAACGCAAGAGAATGAGTCCCAGTGCATGGCCCAAAAACTCAACACTCGGAGGTTAGTATGCAGAACAATGACATCAATGTACACAGATATAGGGGGAGGGCTTTATTCATGTAGCAGGATCTCACAGGACTTTCCAAGCTGTGACGGATGTTGTGACTGTAAAAGTTATGTAAGGGGCAGTGCGAAGGTGCACCACCTAGAGGATATGAGAGTGAGACAGCTGCAATATTCCTGGGAATGTGAGGGCAGCTTTGGAGAATGCCAAGTGCACTCCACACCCCCTGCAATGGGCCAGCTTAACTATGGGGTGGGGGAAGAGGCTTGTGTCAAAGCCTTACTTCCTGCCTATCCCATTTGGGGTTTCTAGCACCCCAATTGACTAGAGACCCCAGGTCTTCGCACTTGAGAAGGTGGTTTGTGCTTCGTCCCTGTATAGGGTACATAAGAGAGACTGAAGGCACTTCTACCCCACTCCATTCCACTCTTGTACATGCGTGCAGGACAAGGCATGATTTATGCCAAGCATCCATCACTTGATCTCTGCTTACTGCGCTGGCTTGCTGCAAAATACAGCAACATGTCAAACTCAAGATCTCAGTTCTGATCATTAAAGCACTGAATAGTTTGGGCCCAGGACACCTAAAAAATCTAGGAGGAGGATTCTACTTTAGGACACCCATCTTCAGGTACAGCTGAACAATCCCCTGCCAGGGTAAAGCTTCTCAGTACAGCAGATAGAACTTTCCCCACAGCAGTTGCAGGACTGTGGAACAAAGTCCTCCAGAAATGAAGTATCACCACAAACCACACCATTTTCCATGTGCCAAGCACAAGGCAAACTTCTCTGATCTTGCCTTAGGCCATATAAACATAGCACTGCAGACATGTAATAAAAAACAAAAATCCCCACACAATTTCTCACTGGGGAGAAAAAAAGACCCACAGGTGCTAGTCACATCACTTAATGCAGTTCTGGAAAGAGCTCAGATATGATGGTTGCAAGAACATAAACAGAAGAGAAAAGAATCTCTGAAATGCAGCCAGACACATGTTTTTGGTGAAAACCAGCATCCATCCACAGAGCCATTTAGATTAATTCAGTCAGGACACTCAAGATGCTAGCCAAAGGATCATCCCTACTGCCAATGAGCATTCCCTCACAGCAGAACGGAGTTTATCAGCCAAATGAGGTAATCCAGGGGCTATTTTGAAATGTTAATTTCGAGACCCAGAAGTGGCTTACTGTTTCCAAAATGGAGCAACAGCAATTGTGCAGGTATCACACAACAGGATATCCACAGTAGAAATAGGAAGAAGTAAATATTACCTAAGTTAGCAATCATTGTCTCCAGCACCCTCACTGCTGCAGTATAAATCCCAGAATTCTTAGAGTTCAAGTTATCAGTGACAGCCGTCACCATGGAGACCACAACTGGATGTAAGCCATCTTTGAGCATAGGGATCATGAAGATAGCTGAATCTAGTGCATGCTGGTTCACTTTCTTGTTGGAGTCCTGAAGCCTCAGGTTAAAAGCATCAAAAATCTGTTCAAAAATAAAGTAAAATCAGGATGTACCGTGCTTTTGGTGTTGGCAGGGTATTTAGAAATAGAGGATTTCAGCAAGCACAAAAAATGGGCCAGATCCTGCTAACACTTCATACCAGAACAGAACTTACTACTAGAAGAAGTCTAACTGACTTTCATGGGCTGCTCACAATAGTGAGCACTTTGTGCAGTGCTGTTTGCAAATCAGAATCTAGTTTCTTCTAATTTTCCAACTTTTTGGGGGCTGAGTTTACTTATTATCCCTTCCAAATAAAGCTGAGAAATCTTTTTCACTGAAGGGAACTTGCCAATCTCTTTAAGGTCCCCCCATTTACCTTCCTTTGAGTAATGTTAGTGCTTGGGTAGAAGAATGGCAATTACTAGTTAATAAAAGAGTTTGGGAAGACAGTCGAAGGAAACTGCAGGTAACTTTAGCTTTGCCAAACTAAGGTTGGTTCTGATCCAAGTTTCATTGTATTCAACCCCCCACCCTCCAAAAAAATCTGGGGTTGCTGGAATGCGGGTCTCTAAGAAGTGGTTCAGAGTCCAATCAGACATTCTAATAGGCAGGCCTCTCATGTGTAATGCATCAAGCCACTCTCCTTAGAGCAGATTTTGACTTCTTATCTCACTGTCACCACATTCTCAGGCAGTCATCCCTAGAACAGAGAGCAGCAGCAAGAGAGCCTTCTCTTGCAGCTCTGAGCCCTTTACCCCTTCCCTTCAAGAAGCCGAGACAGGGGCCTGTGTGGGAGGCCAGGAACTGACAGGTTTTTCAGGTAAGGGAGAGGTGAGGAGAAAGGGAGTAGGCTGAGCCACTACATTATCAACAGAAGAGGAAGGGGGAGCAGAAGCTAGGAGGTTCCACACCTTTCCGGTAGGAAAAACGTAGTTGCTCACCTACTCCTTCCAACCTCCCCACTCCTCTCCCAGAAAACAGCCAGCAGCTCTGGGTAGCTGGGCTCCCTCTCACTGTTCTTTGGAAGAGAGAAAGCAGTGGCAGCCACAAAGACCTCCTGGGGAGAGGGGGAAGCAGCAGCAGTTGAACCTTGCAGACAGGTAGTGTCAGGCTGAAATAAACAGCATTAGAGGCCTAGACTGAATTGACTGCGTGAGTAAGGGTGTTCCAGCCTGGACTGAATTAATGGCATGGATGGTGATGGTAGCTGGAATTGTTCGTATTGGAGGCAGCCTGGGCAAGGTACATGGGGATCAAGAGACTAGGCTCTTGAGACCTGGACAATGTTTGAGGAGATGAACTGGGGGTTGTTCTTGCAGTGCTCCCCCAGCAGCGTTACTCCCTCCATTCGTGTCTGAAACTCCTTGGCCATCAGGAGTTTGTTCAGCTCCTTGAGCTGCTCCATTGCTTCCACACTACGGAGAGATGAGCGACGAACCACTGTCTGTGCTGGTGCTAGAATGTCTGATCTGGACCTTGTGTTAGGACAGAAAAACTCAATGTCACCTTTGGATACAAACATTTTCAGTATAGCAATGACAAACACAGCCTCAGCGTGCTTCCTGCTCACTTAGTTACAGTGTGAGCCTGCTCTAAATAACTCAGCATCAGAGCTTACTAGGATTATTACAGACAGAAGTGTCTAGTTTACACTATCTCCAGATTATAATTAGGGAATTGAAGCACACAGGGATTGATCTACCCAACGCCACCCAGAGAATCAGTATCAAAACTGGGAATAGACACCAGCATTGCTGACTCCCAGTCCTGTACTTAGACCAAGGAGCTCTTGGGGCTTGATCCAAAGTCCATTGAGTTAATGGAAGGATTCCCATGAATTTCAATGGGCTGGGGATTAGGCCCTTATAAATGGGGCTTGTTAACTCTAGCACATACTTGGGAAAAATTCTAAATACATAGGTGAGGCTTATGCTCTCTATCTTCTTGCCACCAGTGAATACAATGGAACAGATCCATTGTATTATCAAAAGAGAAAAGACATGCGGCTCCACTGCTAGCCGTGGGAGCTAAAAAGACCAAGTTCTTGTCTTGAACTCTGATCCCCAGCCCAGCAGGTATGGTATTGCCACAGGACTGGCAGCAGATGCCTGGCTCAGTAATGTTCTGTTTGGAGCTGATCTTTATATATAGCTACCAAAAAATTCAGACTAGCCTAGTAACAGTTTATTGATGAATAAGGCTGAAAACTCCATTGTACATATCCTCACAGATAATGAAATAACAAAGAAATGGTCAGTACCCTTCATCAGAAGGCAGACTGTCCTGGGAGGTGGTCAAGCTGCTGTTCCTAGACTCCCTGCGACCTTTGGCAGAAGGGGGTTCAGATACATTGTCTTCCATCCCCTATATATAGATATATAAATGCATCCATGAAAAACAAGAGAATATGGAAAATGATTTCTTATGACAGTCAGTGTAAAACCAGGATCTGTGTTCTTCAGATGGGAGAGCAGAGAATTTTATAGTCCAAACTAGGAGAAGAGCCAGACACACCCAGAAATCCATTAGAGACTTCGCTATGGCCATCCTAATCAGAGAGGCATTACAATGCTTCAGTGATGGGCAGCCATATAAAACCCAGTGACAGTTGGCTAGATCTGGTCACGTGTGAAACCACTTCAGTCACAAACTGGTGCCTGTTGCAGATCAGTAACTCTGGGAGTAACTGGATCTCTTTAGTAGTTGTAAAGCAGGGGTGGGGAACCTAACATCCAAGGGGCCAGATGCAGCCCGTAGCTTACTTGGATCTGGTCCCTGAGTCTCGGGGCTCCCCCCAGCATTGGGAAGCCTGCGCTGTTGCTCCAGCCCCTCCTCCATCTCCCCACAGAACTGGAGCGCACAACATTTACTAGCCTGGGTCCCCCAAGGCTCTGGTATGTGAGGGAAATGTCTTTTTCCTCCTCAGTCAGGGCCATATCAGTGAGGGGTTTAGGAGTGCTTTTTTTTTTTGCTTCTCATTTGTGTGTGGCCCCCGACTGATTTTTCTGTGGGTTAGTGGCCCCCAACCCAAAAAAGGTTCCCCACCCCTGTTCTAAAAGTATCCTTGAACTACAGAACCCTGGGAGAATTCCACCAGAGGTATTCATTCTTCCAGCTCCTTGACAAACCCTTGTTCTTCTTTAGAAGAGAAATGAATACAAAGTCCAGGTTCATCAGGATGATATTCTACTGACTGTAGGGATTCTTGGAGCACTTTCCTGTTTCTACAGCACATGAGTGCAGAGGTAGTATTTTCTGACTGGAGTAGGTATGTGCTCCAATTAAACCAGCGACACATCTCTCTTATTCTAGGAAATTTTCCAGGGACATCTCCTTCCCTATCTATTAAATAAAGGACTGACAATTTCAAAAGAACTACTCCCACCCCTGTCCTCTCTCTCTGGATGCGAGGGAGACCATTTTCTTCTACTTTCCTTTCTTATTTGTGTCCATAATTCTACCCAACTATTTCCCGCACTACCAGCTAATAAAATGGGTCAGGATTTATAGTTCCTCTTCATGAACCAGAAGAACCAGAGAAAAATGAAGGAGGGGTAAGAGAGGGGAGTTGTGTATGGTCATGTATTGGCTCTCTCAGTACATGCAAACGGGAGATATATCTTCTACTAAGTACTTACTTTCTGCCTTATTGTTGCCATAACATCACGCAAGGTATGTGATGGGATAGACTGTTTCAAATACCCATCGAATTTTGGATGAGGCATCAACACATTCAGCATCTTCCTGCCGTAAAATCTAGCATGGGGAGGACAAGAAACTAAAGAAAGACGATTTTACCCCAAATATCACCATTTCATTCATCTATCCAGAAGGAAGAGAGAAGTTACAAAAAAGAAACTGAAATGTTATGCTCTCCATGTTCAGTAGAAGTAAGTGGTGCTCTGTTAGGATTTTTAATCCCTTCAGAGGACACATAAATAAAGACAAAGATTTACCTCCAATTGGCCTATATAATATGGCCTGGAGCAGCACAGTAATGGGTAAATATCCTCTCACTCTATGGAGATCTACTAAATAATTAAAGAGTCTATTTTTCCTTTGATGGGAATATCTTAGTTATGGCAACAAATGTTAATGGTCATAACAAATGATAACGATCATAACAATTTACTTCCTTCAAAAGACTTTCATTTTGCAAGATTCTAAACTGCTTTAATAAATTATTGCAGAGGAGGGTTTTTTTTTCATCCAATACCAAAAAGCAGCTACTTCTGTGGTGGAACATGGCAGCTATTCAAGAGCACACAACAATAGTTTTGGGTGGAATGTGCTATATATCACAGCCAATTGACACTGCAAGGAGAATTTAGGGAGGCAGAATGCATTGATCCAATACCAGTGGAATTTGACCCGGGCAATAGGTGCTCATATCCCTATTCTTACTAGACATGTTCCGGGATCTTTCAGCAATCATAACTGTACAAGGATTCAGTTTTACATAACACCCAAAAGATACGCAAGGAAGTTATATGTGCATATTGGGTGGACTAGTCCTATCACATTCCTTTCAAATAAGGATGCCTCATGCAATATAAATGCTTGAATGGATCTTTATTGCTTGATAACCCATAAGAGATGGATCCTGCACCTTTCCCAAGCCAACAGTATATAAACTAAAAAGCATGCTTTCCATATGCTTCTTTTACACTATGTTTTCTTTATACTTGTTTTACATTAGTTTGCATAATCATAGTTTGTTATTTGCCATCTACTGATCACAAAACATTTCTCAAGTCTAGGAGGCAGAAGGGCTATCATTACCTAGTGTCTTGATTGCAGTCCTGAGCGAGCTTCACCAGAGTCTGGACCAGTAGCTCTGTGTTGTCTCTAGTGCCTGACAGAAGTTTCTCAGCTCCGATCTGTTCCATGACAGTCAGTAAGTGTTCAGCGGCACACTTTCGAACAAGGGGGTTACGATGGCTGGAGATAAGACAGCAAACCAGCACATGTCTATAATGGCTCTTCATCCCCAAACCACAGACTTCTGCCACGTGACTAAGAAAGAACTCCTTAACTGTTGGTAGTAGCAGATCTCTGACCTTCTCTGTGGACCCTGCTATTAGTGATAGCAATGTCCATTCGTACACAGTGAACCATTATACTACAAAAGGACCATCTGCAAGGATGAGAGGAGAATTCAGTCTCCATGGCACATTTGGACTTTGGGGTTCCTGCTGCTACTAACAACCCAGACAGGGACAGTTATACCCTTTCTGACACAGATATCAGTGCATTAGCCTTCGGGCTTAGTTTCCCAATTTGTTTCATATCCAGCAGCCCACTGAATGGTCAGAGACCACGAGGGACAGTACTCTAGTATATTCACCAATGCAGCCTCTGCCTGTATATTCCTAGAGCATTTAGAACATAAGAACGGCCGTACTGGGTCAGACCAAAGGTCCATCTAGCTCAGTATCCTGTCTACCGACAGTGGCCAGCACCAGGTGCCCCAGAGAGGGTGGACCGAAGACAACAATCAAGCGATTTGTCTCCTGCCATCCTCTCCAGCCTCTGACAGACAGAGGCCAAGGACACCATTTTATCCCCTGGCTAATAGCCTTTTATGGACCTAACCTCCATGAAATTATCTAGCTTCTCTTTAAACTCTATTATAGTCCTAGCCTTCACAGCCTCCTCTGGCAAGGAGTTCCACAGGTTGACTACACACTGTGTGAAGAAGAACTTTCTTTTATTAGTTTTAAACCTCCCCATTAATTTCATTTGGTGTCCTCTAGTTCTTCTATTATGGGAACTAATAAATAACTTTTCTTTATCAGCCCTCTCCACACCACTCATGATTTTATAGACCTCTATCATATCCCCCCTCAGTCTCCTCTTTTCTAAACTGAAAAGTCCCAGTCGCTTTAACCTCTCCTCATATGGGACCCGTTCCAAACCCCTAATCATTTTAGTTGCCCTTTTCTGAACCCTTTCCAAGGCCAAAATATCTTTTTTGAGGTGAGGAGACCACATCTGTACACAGTATTCAAGATGTGGGCGTACCATAGTTTTATACAGGGGCAGTAAGATATTCTGGGTCTTATTTTCTATCCCTTTCTTAATAATTCCCAGCATCCTATTTGCCTTTTTGACCGCCACTGCACACTGCGTGGAAGTTTTCAGAGAACTGTCCACGATAACTCCAAGATCCCTTTCCTGATTTGTCGTAGCCAAATTAGCCCCCATCATACTGTACGTATAGTTGGGGTTATTTTTCCCGATGTGCATTACTTTACACTTATCCACATTAAATTTCATTTGCCATTTTGTTGCCCAATCACTCAGTTTGGTGAGATCTTCTTGGAGTCCCTCACAGTCTGCTTCTGTCTTGACTATCCTAAACAGTTTGGTATCATCTGCAAACTTTACTACCTCACTGCTTACCCCTTTCTCCAGATCATTTATGAATAAGTTGAAAAGGATTGGTCCCAGGACTGACCCTTGGGGTACACCACTAGTTACCCCTCTCCAATCTGAAAATTTACCATTTATTCCTACCCTTTGTTTCCTGTCTTTTAACCAGTTCTCAATCCAAGAAAGGACCTTCCCTCTTATCCCATGGCCATGTAATTTACACAAGAGCCTTTGGTGAGGGACCTTGTCAAAGGCTTTCTGAAAATCCAAGTATACTATATCTACTGGATCCCCCTTGTCCGCATGTTTGTTAACCCCTTCAAAGAACTCTAATAGATTAGTAAGACAGGATTTCCCTTTACAGAAACCATGTTGACTTTTGTCCAACAAATTATGTTCTTCTACATGCTTCACAATTTTATTCTTTACTATTGTTTCGACTAATTTGCCCGGTACTGAAGTTAGACTTACCGGTCTGTAATTGCCAGGATCGCCCCTTTTTAAATATTGGTGTCACGTTGGCTACCTTCCAGTCATTAGGTACAGAAGCTGATTTAAAGGATAGGTTAAAATCCACAGATAATAGCTCAGCAATTTCCCATTTAAGTTCTTTTAGAACCCTTGGATGAATGCCATCCGGTCCCGGAGATTTGTTAACATTAAGTTTTTCTATTTGTTCCAAAACCTCCTCTAATGACACTTCAATCCGGGACAGTTCCTCAGATTCATCACCCACAAAGGACGGTGCAGATTCAGGAATCTCCCCAACGTCCTCAGCCGTGAAGACTGAAGCAAAGAAATCATTTAGTTTCTCCGCAATGGCTTTATCGTCCTTGATTGCTCCTTTTATAGCTCGATCACAGGTCTTTTAGCAGGCTTCCTGCTTCTAATGTACTTAAAAAACATTTTGTTATTTCTTTTTGACTTTTTGGCTAGCTGTTCCTCAAAATCTTTTTTCGCTTTTCTTATTACATTTTTACACTTGATTTGACAGTGTTTATGTTCCTTTCTATTTATCTCACTAGGATTGGACTTCCACTTCTTAAAAGATACCTTTTTGTCCCTCACTGCTTCTTTTACATGGTGGTTAAGCCACGGTGACTCTTTTTTAGGTCTCTTGCTATGTTTTTTAATTTGGGGTATACATTTAAGTTGGGCCTCTATTATGGTGTCTTTAAAAAGTTTCCATGCAGCTTTCAGGGATTTGGCTCTAGTCACTGTGCCTTTTAATTTCTGTTTAACTAACCTCCTCATTTTTGTGTAATTCCTCTTTTTGAAATTAAATGCCAGGGGGCTGGACTGCTGAGGTGTTCTTCCCACCACAGGAATGTTGAATGTTATCATATTATGGTCACTATTCCCAAGCGGTCCGGTAACAGTTATATCCAGGACCTGATCCTGCACTGCACTCAGGACTAAATCGAGAATTGACTCTCCCCTTGTAGGTTCCTGCACTAGCTGCTCGAAGAAGCAGTCATTTAAGCCATTGAGAAATTTTATCTCCACTTCTCTTCCTGAGGTGACATGTATCTAGTCAATATGGGGGTAATTAAAATCCCCCATTATTATAGAGTTCTCTATTTTGGTAGCCTCTCTAATCTCCCTCAGCATTTCAATGTCAGTATCACTGTCCTGGTCAGGTGGTCGGTAATATATCCCTACTGCTAATTTCTTATTATTGGAGCATGGAATTACAATCCATAGCAATTCTATTGAACATGTTGATTCACTTACTATTTTTATTTCATTTGATTCTACATTATCTTTCACATACAGTGCCACTCCACCACCCACCCAGCCTGCTCTATCCTTTCTATATATTTTATATCCCGGTATGATTGTGTCCCACAGATTTTCCTCATTCCACCAGATTTCAGTAATGCCTATTATGTCAATCTCCTCATTTAATACGAGGTACTCTAGTTTTAATTTGGCGTTTTAATGGTTTCAGGGCTGCAGAAGGTATACAGACACATGTCTCACCAACAGTTTTAGCTAGACCTTCATTTACTGGAACGAACTGCACCTGTTTGAAACCACCAGGTATGATACCAGCACTGTGAAGTGGTTCCATCTTCATGGTTCCCATAAAAGTTTGCTTTTCAAGACCCAGGAAATCTGCCTCACTGAACTGAAGCTGGCATTTTGAACTAGGTAAGTGAAGTTTTTAAAGGCAATGATGGGAATTGTGTGGTAGGCCCCTGCCAAATTGTGCGGTTTTTCCTTTGGGTATATTCTAACCATATATATGACTGGTTCCTGCTTCTCTCGTTAATAATGCTCTGATGATGTGTGGTTTGTTGCAGTGGCCCTGTGATTAGCACTATATGGCCATTAAGCAGGAAACTTGGTTTTGGCTGCACACCAGAATTGCTGTAATCCCATCAGATGGGTGGTGGAGGGAACACATCACAATGCTCTACACTGATCTATCACATCCCGATCACCACAGCATCTGGGCAATACTGATGGACTGTGCTAGACAACAGGTCATTATGGAATGATGTCCTAATGATAATGGGGGGTGTAACCGGGTAATGGCAGTGAAATATACCAGAGCAGAGGGAATACCTCCTTCTACACCATTCTCTTGTTCTTCACATAGCAATTAGTCAGGATGCAGAGCTCAGACAAGGGAAGAGTTACATACTTTACTCCACGGGCCATGAGGGCAGCCATTGCTCTCATGGGAGTCACACTCTCCACCATGATGTCCAGGGTCTGATCAGCTGCTTTCTGAATGAACTCGCTGGAATCTCCTGTCTTGTGGAGCAGGACCCGAGCAATCTCCTCAACTTCCTGGTCCATGTGCTTCTTCATGGTCCTGAAGAGCTCACCAAGGGTGTTGATAGCAAAGCGAGACACCTTTGAACGGAGGTTGCTAACCTGGAGGAGGAAGAGTTATGAGTAGGACAAAGGATTCGGCTTAGAAAGATCTGCTGACATGTATTTAGAGCAGTGGTTCTCAAAGTGTGGGCCGCAGACCATTAGTGGTCCATGACCATCTTGCAAGTGGGCCTCTGGCTTGGGGCTGCTCACATCCCATCCCCACAGCGGGGAGCCTGCACTGGTGCTCCAGGCCCAGTGCACTACCCTGAGAGGTTGGAGTATCAGCACCGCGCTCCCAGTGTGGGAAGGCAGAGGTGAGCCTTGTGAGCTGGATCTGGCTTGTGAGGGAAGGACGCAGCTCCATGCACTGCCACTTCCTCTCCTCTATCTGGGGGAACAGCAGCACAGGAAACCATTTGCCTGTATGCTTTCCCTGCTGCTCCCATTGGCTGTAATCATGGCCAATGAGAACAGCAGGAGGCATGAAGCCAGGAAAGCACTCCAGAAACCCATCCCCCTCCTGCCAAGACCCCATGCCCTCACTCCGTTCATGCACCCCTCCCTCCCAGACTCCCACCCTCAGCCCATGCCTGCATACTACCTACCAGCCAGACCCCCATGCTTCAGCTTATTCCTGCACCCTACTTCCCGACCAGACCCTGCACCCCCATCCTCTCCTGCACCCATTTTATCATCATGAGTGTGATTGGCTAGTGGTTGACAGAAAGGTCTGCCTTGAGCAGACCAAAAACGGGTGGACTGCAGGCCAAAAAGTTTGAGAACCACTGCTATAAGCGTTCACTGCAAACCCCAGAAAATGCAATTGCTGGACTGTGAAAGCAAAATCTGGGACAGGAATGAAATGAAAGATGAACCTATATCTCTGCATGGGAATGTCCGCAAGAAAGAGAAAAGGATATCTCTTCTTAAAGGTAAGGAATCAGAGAAAGCCTGAACTGCAAACTAAGTATAATCTGAACATCTTCATTCCCCATCGCTGAATTACAAAAGGGGATTTGAATTCTGTGGATCTGAATACAGTGACCTATGGGTTCTGGTGCCCTCGAACCTCTGATTATTCAAACCTGCTAGATCTTTGTATAGCAGACTGAAGATGAAGATCACAGTTTACAGAAGCGAGCCAACTCTCATTGTTGCAGATGGAAGAAGGTTTAGTGTACTTGGCAAACCAAGCTTAGTAATAGCACAATCAGCTGTGCAGGCCACAAATATGTGCTGATTGGGAACTTGCAGCTGCTTCTAACTCATTGAAGAATCTAACACAGGCACAATAAAATTTCTCTGATCAAATAAAAAGTAAAGATGTTCAGAGTAGTCATGGATGACTGCCCTGCAATCCGAATGCTTGCTGGCTCATGATGGATCAAGCATAAACCTAGGAGCCAAAACTCCAGAATTTAAACCTGGCTCTGAGAATGATGCAGTCTGGTTTTGGCAAATCAACTTTTCTGTGCCTTAGTTTCCCCATCTGTATAATGCATAATGATAATTCCTATCTCCGTTATGGGAGGGGGGGGGGAGAAGAGAGAGAGAGAGACTGCTTTTGACTGTAGAGATAGACAGAGATAAATAAATTTTGTATATATGGATACAGATATCAGACAGAGATGTAGATTTAAAAGTAGCTATTGAGACAGAGCAAATACATAAATCCAGATAAACATATGCACATTTAGTATATATATATTTAATAGAAATGTCTTACCTCTTTGGTAACAGCCAAGGAAACATCATGAAGTTGACAAAGGAGGACTTCTGAATGGCAAGTAGCCAGGCATCTGATGCTGGAAAGTCCTTTCTCCTTCAGCAGCCTGAGACACAATTACAAAACAGATAGGCATTTAAAAAAATCATTCGTCTCACATGGCACTGTGCTAAACGTAATTTCACATACCTGCAACCTGGGGATAGACCCTGGAATCCACACTCATGGGACACTAAAAGCAAAAGTGCTGGATTTTTGAGGAACTCCCTATACATTTTTTAAACTCATAATAAAAAAATGCTTTCAGTAGCTTGTGCGTGCAATTCCCTAGTGACCTACCTAAGCTGGAGGAAGGTATATGATCGATTTACTAGTTCCACATGATAGACTCAATCCTTGAGAAAACTAGAGATTTTCACGGCAGACTATGGATTTTCCATCTCCCTGTAGACTCAGGAGACATAACTTGCATTTTTCTTTTATAACCCCTATTGATGTTGCCAGTGTGTTTCAGGACTCAGCTCACTGAATTAACAGTGCCACCTGTTGGTGTATGATAAGAAGCACAGCCTGCTGTGACAGCCATAGCAGAATTGAGGTATAAGTGGATTTAACTTAATAGAAAAATCCTTCATTTTTATTGTGGGTGTGTGAGTGGGGATAGTTGTTTAAAAAAAAAGAGGAAGAAAGTGGAGGATTAGAGGGGAGAAGGAAAGAGGAAAAGATGAGAGAGAGAGAGAAAGTTTGAAGTGAATGGGTTTAAAATAAAACCGAATAACTGTGTTTATACAAGCATACGCAAAGTGTCACACTGGGTTATACCGTAGTTAATCTGGAGTAATTCCACCAAACTGAATGGATTCACTCTAGATTTACACCTGTGTAGCTGATATCAGAATCTGGCTCCATAGCTTCTGAATCCATGCATATTCCCTTCCCTCTTTATGCCTAATTTCAGTATAGTGCAATCATTAGTTAAATATTGCTGTTTGTGTTCCTGTTAGGCAGTGGGGAAAGTTCTTATTCTGACGATCCTAAGAAATTACTCAGGTCTCCCACCCCCAAATCCCTGTCTTAGAGAGACTCCAGGCAGAGCAATTCCCTTCTCAGTATGCATTGCAATGCTAGAATTTACCTTAAACACAAACAATGCAACTGATTTCTTGGGTCCCACTCAGATCTATAACTTGCAGAACTAGGGCAGGATGCAGTTTCTGAAATGATCACCCCCCTCCAGTAGCAAGGCTAAGGGGAAGATGCCTGGTCCTCTCTATGCTTCCAGCAATAAGAACAGCACAAAGGCAACTCCAATCTCCCCCATCAGCTTGAGGCCCTGCAGATTGTAGGGCCAACCCTTCTTCTGCCTTTATGACTGCCAAAGTGGCCTGCATCTCTCCGGCTGGGGAGTCAAGGCAAAGACATGACACATAGCGGAAACTGGCTTCTAGCGGGAGTATCTTTTGATTATCCTGTAATTTCATCTCTTCGCTGTAACTATTATTTGTGGCTACACAAAGGCCCAAAGAAGATTAATGAATGAAGCTAACCTGCTATTAGCCACAACAGCAATACAGCTAGGGCAGGAGACCCATGCTGGAGGGCTTTCCCAGGTTTATATCACTTGGAAAGTCATTGCATTGTGAAGATTAGTTTCACTTAGTTCCCTCCAACTCCCTGATCTTGAAAGAGAGTGGAGGAAACAGCCACTCACACACCTTTATGCTGAGGGGAAGGAGGGAGTTGAGGGTGGAATGTTTCCCTACCAGTCACTGCAGTTGAGCCACTTCAGAGCATCAACCAGTCCTTGATCCGGGTGAGAGAATGGTCTCATTTCCAAGGCATCCACACTTTCAGATTCCTCCTCCCCCTCTTGGGAATCCAGAGTATTTGCTGGCAGGGAGTTAGCTGTATGGAAAAAATCAAACACCACAGATATCAAATGTGGCAAGTGCTAGCCAGGATTCCACAGTTAAAATTGTATCCAGGTTCCATTGTGTGGGATTATTTTGGCCTCTGCCTAACTTCTTAGCCAAAGTTGCTATTGGTCTGAATTTTCCTACTATTAAAATAGGCTGTCTGATTTTTTTAACGACTTTCAGAAATTTAAAATCTGCATTGTTTTAATGACTAGGAGACCAAAAAAATATGACCCAGACCCTAAATTAGTATAAATCAACATACAGTATCTACATTGCTCTTAATGGAGGATCTGTCCCATGATTTTCAAAGCATTTTGTTTCTTTAGCCCCTAACACAATGGGACCTTGGATCCACCTCTAGGGCTCTTAGGTGCTACAGAAATACAAATAAATTTATAATACTACTATTTTCATGGGTTTTCAAGTACTTATCACTGGACACCAGCTTGTTACAGAAGGCTGGAAACTCACACCATGTTAAAATATACATATTGTTGGGAATGTGATGATTTTGGATTTTTTTTTTTATGTCTGAGTTTTGTATATATTTCTGTTCTTTAGGAGCTTTCCACTGACTGTACATAGGAAGTAGAATATATTTTGTCTTATTAATATATTTGTTTACCGACTGTGCAGAATCTAAGCTTTCTTTAATAGGAAAATTAATTTCTAGCCCCTATGGCTTCAAAGAAAACCTTCCAAACGTGAACAGAAAGTAAAGAGATGCAGTGTTAGCAAATGTGGTTGATGATGAATATACTAGTCTCCTGAAATTTTACATGATAAATGTATTTTGTCACAAAGCCCATTTATCATCTGAAGCGCTAGAAGTCAAAAATTTTCACACTTAAACATCTTTAGGCCAAATTTTTCTCTTCTACATTGTAGATGAGAGAACTTTAGACTTCTAAAAGTGCAAATATTGTGTTGAGCCTAGATGGAATGTAGGTTCTCAAGAGGATATCTATATATGATATATAAGATATCATAGTTTTTATGTGATCCATTGTAGTATATTTAGGATACAAAATCTAAAGGTGAGATTTTCAAAAACGTTCACCAATGGCCTAACTCTGCTCCCATGAAGTCAACAGTAAAAACTTCATTAACTTTAATGCTAATCATGTTTTTCAAATCTCCTCCTACATAGAAAGGTGCTCCCTAAAAAAATTCCCTTCCAGGTACCAATCTTGCCTATCCCTGCTCAGCTTGCATAGAATCAGAATGCTCTAAGGTTGTAGGCTAAACAAAGGGAAAACATCCTATCTACCAAAGAAAGAACAGAGTCACTAGATACCATATTGTCTGTTATGTATTAATTTTTGAGTGGGGGGGGGGGGGAAATCAACCGTCACCTGTAATTTTTAAGCTATAGGACATGAAAATACTGTGCAGTTTGTGGTGCACGAGCCAGGATGCTAAAGGCTGGGTGTCTCATCTCAGGCTGCAATGGTATTAGGCAATATTGCTACAGCTGAGTGTGGCAGGATAATGATTGGTTGAAAAGTCATGCAGTACGATTGGCAGCTGCTCAGAGTTCAATGAGCAACCAATCAGATCAAGTATGCAAATGAATGCATCCTGGCTAGCTACAGCTGAGCTCAGTAACTTCATTGGAAGCCCACAACAATTTTTTTAATTCATTACGTTCATCTCTCTTATGTCATCATCTTACAACCAAAAACAATTTTACTCTTTAAAAATTCAAAATAGATAAAGGGCATATCCTGAAGTCCCTATTAAAGCTGTATTCAGGCAAAAAGTAATGACCACTTCAGTTTCACAGTCACTGGAGTGACTACAGTGGGGTTATTATGGATTTATACCAGTGATTCAGCCTATGTATCATTCCTAATCGTGGAACAAAAAGAACTCCTATCCATTAGCTTTGTTCTTGAAGTTGTATTCAGCCCCCTCCTCTAAGGGAGCAAAACACCTGAGATTGTGAAGACAGCTTTGTGATCCCACTGACACAATAAGTCTCACCTGATGAGTGCCGCAGGTGGCTGCTGTCATGATTGATGATGGGAATACTAGGCAGAGATGGCCTGTTGATCCGTTTCTTTAAGGCAATGCCAACACTGGTTCTGCATGGGTTGCTCATGTTGGGTGTAATGGAGATGTTCCCATTGGTGTTAAGTGGGCCAAAGCCTGTTGAGCCTGTTGAGACTGAAAAAGCGCTTGGGGGAGTCAACATTTTTCCAGACTCCAGAGTGATGAACTGAATGGTTCCAGGGATTGATAATGGGAGAAGGTGCATCGGTGGACAGGTATCCTGTATCTTTAAGTACTACAGTGCTGTCCATAGTTGTCTCTAACGCAGAAATAACAAGACTGAAAACTGCACTACTAGGGACAATGTAAAATCCCTTCTAAAGCAGTCCCTTCTACAAAGGGTAAGGGAAGTTAAGTTTTCCACTTCCTTTCCTCTGCTAATTTTGGGGATGAACTGAGGACTTATGCCACTCGAGCTGTCAGTCTCACACTTCTCACCAGGATTACATTCACTTCACCAAAGTAAAAGTAACCTTATATAATGTCCTTGTGTTAAGTGCTGACTTGCAACTTTCCCTGCTGCTGCACTCCTTAGAGTTTGTGCCGCAGTACAATCAGAGCCCGTCAAATGCAATTAAATCAGAGTCAGTAAGCCATGCTCTAGTATATTTTTTTAAAACTGTGAACTACTTTTGTAACAGCTTCATTGCTCCAAGCTTCTCAGTGCATGCAGGAGGAAAGGGGTACTTTGTCTTACTGCGTGAGCAGCATCTTCCTTCATATTTTAATTAGAAAAATTTATATTAAAACTCTTCCAGATCATAACATGATGAAAAGCATTTATTTTGGACACAATTAGTTTGTCTTCATTATGACAGGCTATGACATTATGCTATAATGTGAGAAACACAGGTCTGATTTGTAGGGCAGCATTGTCCAGTGGATAGACTATGGGGCAGGAAAACAGGAACACCACATTCTGTTCTTGGATCTGCCACTGGCTCAGTTACCTATACTCCCTTCCTTTGGAAAGTGCTTTGAGGTTTTGGATGAAACTCACTACAGAGGTGGACAGTAGTAACATTATCATTATTAATATTAATTAATTATGAATTATTATTATTATTAGAAAGAAAGAATAGTCCAGTAGCTAGGATATTGGCTTGGGAGATCAGGGTTCAATTCCTGGCCCTCCTGTAGGCTTCTTGTATGACTGAAGACAAGTCACTTAGTTTCTCTATACCTCAGTATAGGAGTGTTGTAAGAATAAATGTGTTAAAGACTGAGAAGTGTTCAAATACCCCAATTATGGGGACATGCAACTACCTGAGATCTTCATATCTTGCTGCCTGAGCCAGCAAAGGCAGAGAACACTGTATCAGGAAAATGATCAGCCACACCTTGGAAGAGAAGCAGTCGCCCATATTTTTAGAGTGATGTCTTCAACTGACTGAGTAGTGGTACTGACAGGCTCTGAAGGGAGTTGTATCCATCCTTTTCACCAGTAGGGAAATTTGCAATGAAATCTAGAGGGAGGGGTAACTGGGTGGGATTTCTCCATAGATAATCCCTGTGGAAATAACAGTTACTTTTCTAAGGGGATCTTCCTGCCTTGCAATTCTGGTTACAAAAATGGAATATTGTGAACCTAATTCATAGAGCCTGACACTCCAGTGCCTCATACAGTACTCATTTACACTCGTGCACAGTATGTTTAACATGCTATTAGATGGAGAGAGCAGAATGTTGCTCCCACTTTGCACAGGTGTCAATGGCTAAACAAGGTGTGAGGCAGTAGAGAACCAGGCCCATAGCCATTAGCAGCCACTTACCTTCCTGAGCAGTAGCCCCTGGGTCAAGACTGTTCAGTTCATCATGGAGCTGCAGAGAACTTTCCTTCTCTCTCTCTTTTTCCTTCTCCCTCTCTCTGCGCAAAAGCTCCATCTCTTTCATTTGCTTCTGGCGCATTTTCTCCTGAGCTGACTTGGATATTGGGACATGGATCTGGCCACAACACAAATGCACCAAGACACAAAAATAAGACAGAAAGCAGGAAACACTGTGGTACAATAACACAAAAACACTGATATTAAAAAAAAAAAAAAAAAAAGGAAAAACTATGTAGCACTTTAAAGACTAACAAGATGGTTTAATAGGTGATGAACTTTCGTGGGCCAGACCCACTTACTCAGATCATATTCTGTAAGAGAATTGGCATGACCATATATATGAAAGGAATACAATGAAAAAAGTTAACATTATTAAACTGACGAATCAGATTTAGTACAGAAGGTGGGGTGAAAGAGAGGGAGGGAGGGAATAGCTTTTTATGAGTCAATGAATAGCTAATCAGGGGGGATAAGTGGGGAAGCTATCTTTGTAATGGTTAAGGTAATTAGCATCTTTGTTAAGACCCATTCGTAAAGTGTCAAATTTAAGCATGAAAGAAAGTTCTGAAGTTTCCCTCTGTAATCTGGTGTTAAAGTCTCTTTGAAGTAAGATACATGTAGTAAGGTCGTTAAGACTATGTCCAGGTAGGTTGAAATGAAAAGCAACTGGCTTTTCCTTGTGAAGATGTCTGATGTCTGATTTGTGGGCATTAATTCTTTGGTGAAGTGTCTGAGAAGTCTGTCCAATATACATAGCAGAAGAACACTGTTCGTACATGATGGCATAAATTATATTTCTGGATGAACAGGAATATATGTTCTTGATCATATAACTGACATGGTTAGGTCCAGTGATGGTGTCACCAGAGTAAATATGTGGACAAAGCTGGCAACGGGGTTTGTTGCAAGGGAAAGTTCCAGGGTTGGTATTAATGTGGTATGTCCTGTGGTTGTTGGTAAGAATCTTCCTGAGGTTAGGTGGCTGTCTATAGGAGACTATGGGTCTGTCCCCCAGAGCCTCTCGGAGTGTAGTATCCTGTTCCAGTATAGGTTGTAGGTTATTGATAATGCGTTGGAGGGGTTTAAGTTGGGGGCTATAGATGACGACAAGTGGTGTTCTGTTGTTGGTTTTCTTGGGACTATCTTGAAGTAGATGGTTTCTGGGTATTCGTCTGGCTCTTTCAATTTTTCCCTCCCCCCCGGTGGGTAACTGAGATTTACAAATGCTTGGTAGAGATCTTGAGGTTTCTGGTCTCTGTCAGTGAGATCAGAGCAGATGCGGTTGTACCTAAGGGCTTGACTATAGATGATGGATCGTATGGTGTGTCCTGGACGGAAGCTGGAGTCATGTAGGTAAGTGCAGCAGGGTTTTCTGTAGAGAGTGGTGTTTAATTTTCCATTAGTGATTTGTACTGTGGTGTCCAGGAAATGGATTTCTTCTGTTGAATGGTCCAGGCTGAGATTGATGGTGGGGTGTAGGTTGTTAAAGTCTCTGTGGAGCGTTTCTTGGCCATGGATCCATATCATAAAGATGTCATTGATGTAGCGTAAGTAAAGGACGGGTAAAAGGGGACGGGATCTGAGGAAACATTGCTCTAAGTACCCACATGGCCCCACAGTACGCTAACATCTTTATGGCTGACTTAGAACAATGTTTCCTCAGATCCCGCTACATCAATGGTATACATGGTCATGCCAATTCTATTCCAGAATATGATCTGAGGAAGTGGGTCTGGCCCATGAAAGCTCATCACCTATTAAACCATCTTGTTAGTCTTTAAAGTGCTACATAGTTTTTCCTTTTGTTTTAGGAAGATCAGACTAACATGGCTACCTCTCTATTACTATTCAACAAACACTGCTTCAAAACGCCTCAGTAATTTCACAAGCAATTTCCCCTCCGCACAAAGAAGAGGTACTTGGTCAGATTCAGAAGTAGTGTAATTTTTATGTTTTTAAGTTACTGTGAATGGATAGAAAGTGAGTGGTTGGGATGATTAGGGGTCACAGGAAGAAAAGCAGCCAACTGGAAGATGTCAGGAAAAGTAAGCTCCTCTGTTTTAATTTACATCTTCACTAGTCATCCAAGGACTGTTGGGCCCAGTATCACCTGTGGTTGATGAGGTCAGCTACCTCCCAGCTCAGAATGATCATATAGAGGGCAGATTATTACAAAAGCCAGCAAGTAACTCAGCCAACGTGGAGAGCTGTGAGGAGCAGGGAGATTCTAGCAGGACACCCCTGAGTAAAGAGGGGAGAGCTACAGGAAGTAGGTTGGTTCCTGTGGCAGGTCTGGGAGCAGGATCACTACCAGGCAAGGTGGTTGGTAGAATGGGAACCTGCAGATTTAGAGAATGTATAGGCCTCTGCAGTAGGAGGAATGGACAACTGACATGCTGAATTTATGTTATTTGGAGGAAATAAAGCTGAAGTCCAGAGAAAAGGACCTAACCCAGACTCTGAGGATGGTGCCACTCCTTCCTGGGCTGGGTAGATAGGCCAGTGTCCTACACATGCTCTCAGTTGCTTCTCATATTATGATGTAAGTAGGGGCTGAACTGCTGCTTGCTGTCAGCAAGCTGAAAGGAGGGGTGGGTGTGCCAACTACAATTGTTTAGCTCTGCAAGGTAATTAAGTGTTAACCGTTGACATGTAAATACTGCTCAGGAGAGAATCCGAGGTGTGGCTATGTAAATCCCATTCAGCCAGGGCTGATGGAAGGTCAGTGTTGGAATGGAATGTGGAGAAGTGTATATAATTTGGGACTGTTGTGGGGGTAACTAATCATGCTACCCCTAAATGTGGGAACTGTAAAACATGCCACCAGTGCTTGGAGAGACACCACCATCATGGTAAGAGGTCTCGGAAGAACAAGCCTCCCCCCTTCCAGAGTTGAGTGAACAGAGCTGGGGGAAAGGGTTAAAGGGTTTGAGTCAGCCTGCTTCACACCTGCCAGGTATGAGCTATAAGACTGGCCCAGCCTGCACCTTTCCCCCTTTGTTTTATGGACAGACCTCAAGCAAACTCCCTGAGGAGTCTTTTCTTTTGCTAGTCCAGTGAAAGCTGGATTCATTTGCCAGTCCAGCTGGTGGCTAAAGAGTTGAAATCACTGAGGGCTGAAATCACTGGTTTGGCTGAGTGCCAGACCTGTTGCACCAGTGAAGTAGCGGTGACCAGCGGTGTGGCGGGGAGGGGGGGCCGGGGGGGGGCGGCGACCGGCGGCATGGTGTGGAGCGGCGGCAGGTGAGGAGCAGCCACCGGCAGCGTGGCATGGAGCGGGGGCAGGCGAGGAGCGGCCATCAGCAGCGTGGTGTGGAGCAGCAGCAGGTGCCCAGTGGAACGTCCAGAGGTGTGGAACGAGACAGCTGGTGGAGCGTGGCGGAGTTTCGTATAAGGTGCTCCCTATCTATCCCCCCACCCCCATTTCTACCCAGGTTGGGAGGTGAAACCCTGCGGGTGAACTTTGGGACTCTGGGTGGCATGGACCAGGGACAGAGACCTTTGGGGTGTTGGACTTTTTGGACTTCTAGCGATTCTTGGCTGGGGTGGGGGCTTGGCTCATGTTTGGGGTTATGAACTCTGTTTGTGGTGTTTTCCCCCAAGTTAATGCCGTATGACTTCTCTCTCTGTTTCAATAAATGTTTCTTTCCTACACTCAGACTCAGTGCTTGCGAGTGGGGAAGCACTGCCTCTCAGAGGCACCCAGGGGTGTGTGAATTTCCCAGATTACTGGGTGGGGGCTCGAGCCGGTTCTATGTGTGATGGCCCCAAGATATTCAACCCAGCCCTGGTTACTGCCAGGCCTACCCAGCAGAAGGGTTACATAATATTTCCTTTCACCTTCTCAGCAGCACCAGTGGATAACTTACACACCTCAGAAACAGAGAATTCTTCCTACTTAACTTTCTCACCGTTTCCCAGATAATTTCTTTGTTCAGAGAAAACACACGTGAATGTGTGACTCTAACCTAATCAAACTGGAAAGGAGACCCCTGACACAGCAAGTTTATTATTTTTGTTTTTAGTTATTATTTGTATTGCAGTAGTGCCTAGGATCCCATTGTATGAGGTATTGCATAATCACAAGACAAAGGCCTTCCCTGCACCAAAGACATTAACACATACATACCCTTCCATTGATCTCCTTCCAATCATCACCCTTTAAGTGAGGCTGTGATAGCAGTTCTGTCTCCTTGGCCTGACTGAGGGAGAGGGTTGTTAATGGCAGTAAATCTTCAGCAGGCTTCAGGCTACCAGTCAAGCCATTTTTGGGAGCAGTCAAAATGGGTTCCAGATTTCTGAATTCTGATGAGCCAAAGACACATACCATGTGTTAGTGCAGCAAGCCAATGAGGTGATGAAACTATCTTTTTTTGTCTACAGAATGAAGTAAAAGGCTTAATCTGCAGCCCCTAGAGAGCAGCTGTGATTGCTGAGGAAGGATGAAAATAAAGATTTTCTCTGTGGAAAAGGAAACATTTTCCTATCTCTTCCCTGCTATTCAGACTTCAGTGATGTACCCTCTTGCCTGAGTAGATGGAGTTTGTGCTCATGTGACACTTCCACATTCTGACAGCCATATATCTAGGTACAATCAATGATTCCTCCTCTCTATTAAAAAACTAAACGCTTTTAAAGAAAAGTTTTGAATGACTGAAATATGAACAGTAAAATAAGAGTCCTGGTTGCTGCAATGAATTTCCCTCAAGTGGATTCATTATCAAAACCAGCAGCTCAGCCCCTGAAATGACACCTCTATAGACAGAAACTCTAGGGACTGGGTGTGAAAGTTTCCTTTTACTTGTATAGCACAGGGCATATAATTCTGAATTATTCATCAACAGAGCTGCTAAGACTCACTGAACTAATAATTCCATGCATTGCTTCACAAGTCATACAATCATACCATAAATTATACAAAGTCTTATCAACTAAAGAAATAGATAAATTTACAGGGCTGTCCTTCTCTAAAAAGTATCTGTGTAACAACATCATCTTAACTCTGCAAATCTGCTCTCTTGTTATATTTACAGACATAGCTACATATCAGCAACAAAAATAAGTGTTTATTGCTTTTTACTCTTGGTGCAACGACAGAGCCAACAAAGCTCTGAGAGAGTTAAGCTGGATTTTATTTTTTTTCCAAAAATCATCAACAGAATTATTTACTAGTTTCCAGTGGTTATATCTATGCAAATCCACTGAAGGAAATGAGAAGCAGTGGTATCACTCAGGGCTTACCCTATCGGTGTTGCACAGGTGTAACTGAGACACTAATTTAACTGACAGAACCTTTATTTGTGTTCATTTTGTGACAAAATTAATGCATGCCATGTACATACCCAGCGATTTAGGGATCTTCTCCTCAGCGTTGCTATCTGGCCTTGATCTTAAAAAAAAAATTGACAAGAAAAGGATTTGTGAGGAAATACCAAGCAAGAGAGAGCACTTTAATGGAGGAGGTTCTCTTATCAGAACCACCATCACAGAGCAGGAAATGTAATCCACAAGCCCCACATTCTGTTGGCAACGGCTTTACAATATCATTAGGTCCATCAGTTAGCAAAGCCACATGATGGACAAATCCTGTTCCAACTGAAAGTGGTGAGTCAGATCTGTAGGTTCCAGCCTCGTGTCCCTTAGTGCAGCTCAGAAAGGAGAGGCACAATAGTGAGTTTCAGACGTCTATACAAGCCATGGTCTGGAGGCCACTAGATGTTAGGCTGGACCTACAGCCCAAATTAGCACCACCACACATTTACACTAGTACAGGGTTTCCCACCTATGGGTGGGGACCCAAATATGGGTCGCCATTACATTTCAAAAGGGTCACCAAGTGTCTCCCCAGGTGCATTCACACATTTAAAAAGGTCCCCAGCTGGGTGGCTCTGCAGCTGGCTTAGTCTTAAGGAGCCATTCACCTGAAGTGGTACTCAACTTAATTGAAACAAAAAACAGGACTATGTAGCACTTTAAAGACTAACAAGATGGTTTATTAGATGATGAGCTTTCGTGGGCCAGACCCACTTCCTCAGATCAAATAGTGGAAGAAAATTGTCACAACCATATATGGACCATTTCTATCACCATACCATTTCAGTGACTCAGAGTAGGGACTGTGTTTGGGAACCTGGGGGGAGAGGCTGGGACTGTGGTGAGGGGGGCAGGGAATTGGGTTGCAGCTGGAGGGTGCCTGGCTCTGAGGTAGGAGAGGGGCTATTTTAGTAAATTTTGTGATATCCCGTTAATTTAAGTTCAGGTGAAACTGTTTGGTAAAATACTAAATTTTACTTGTTTTTTTGAATAATGTGTATTATGTTGCTAATATTTTTGTAACAGCTGTGAGACTCCTAGGCCGAGTGTGTGACTCACAGCCCTTCCAGCCCCTGACTGTGACTCTGTGATTCCCAGCCTCTCCAGCCCCAGAATGTGGCCCCCAGACCCTGACTCGGAGCCCCTGAGTGTGTGACTCCCATAGTGTGTGACTCCCATAGTGTGATTCCCAGGCCGAGTGAGGGTATGTCTACACTACAAAGTTAATTCGAACTAACGGATGTTAGTTCGAATTAACTTTGATAGGCGCTACACTAGCGCTCCGTTAGTTCGAACTTAATTCGAACTAGCGGAGCGCTTAGTTCGAACTAGGTAAACCTCATTCCACGAGGACTAAGCCAAGTTTGAACTTACTAGTTCGAATTAAGGGGTGTGTAGCCCCTTAATTCGAACTAGTGGGAGGCTAGCCCTCCCCAGCTTTCCCTGGTGGCCACTCTGGCCAACACCAGGAAAACTCGTATGCCCCCCTCCCAGCCCCGGACCCATTAAAGGGGCACGGGCTGGCTACAATGCCCGTGCCAGGGGCCAAGCTGCCCGCAACC